AGCAGCTGAGACCCTACTGAGAGTACTGTCCAGAGCAGGGTGGCAGTGACTGGCAGGGCCCAAGCAGGGCACTGCCTCAGAGACAGGATGGGGCTTCCAGAGCCTGGCACGCAGCTGAGGGAGGCTCAAGCCCAGCCCTGGTTCTAGTCTGTGCCCCTGAGACCTGCTGTGGCTATCCTGTGCCCCGGGTCTGGTGTAGGCTCTGCTTTCTGCCCACTTGGGCCCTGAGGGTCCTGCACTGACCTTGTGCTTTTCTAATCACTGATAGAACAGTATAGAGCTCTGCAGCCTCAAGCAGCTCTGCATTTCCTTACAAATTAGGGATTTAAACTTTTATGGCAGCTGACAAATAGTGCATAATCAATTTTCAGAAAGCACAAACCAGCATCAGTGGTACAGATTTCCTGCCCTGGCATCAAAAACTTCTGATGAAAAGGTAACGCTTTTGTATCATTTTCTCTCTTTTTTACTCTCAAGTTACTTTCCTTGGTTATAGGGGAGATTTAACATTTTTCAATAATTATTGAGATGTTATGTCTTTTGTGAATAGTCTGTTTACAAGAGCCTGACATGGGGGTCTCTGGGGGGGCACTCAGTGGGGACGCTGGAGGCCCAGCTGCACACAGCAGCATCAGTAGTACAGAGCTGCACTCAAAGAAAATAATTGTTAAAGATAAAACTTCTGGCAAAGCAGCCTTCAGAAAAAATAATTATATAGTTACTGTGATGGAGCCTTTTAGAAAACACATTTCTGGTTTTGTGTCACACTTGACAAACACAGGCTCAGTGAGTGTGTTCCCGTCTGTGGGCTGACTCTAGCCTTTGTTAGGAGGTGTAGGCATGTGGGGGTATTCTTGTGCTTTGGGAGCTGAGTGTCCCTGGTGCGAGCCAGCAGATGCCAAGGTCCCCACACTGCGTGTCTGCAGCGCTTCTCCACTGCTGCCCAGAGTCTTCTGGCTATCCTAGGGGCCAGGCGGTGGGGCGACTTCGTGTTAACATCGGATTAAAGTGCATGGATGATTAACTGATTTCCAGCATAAAAGCTGCACACTGCCATCCTGGGGTCTGCAGATTCATGCCTCATGATTGTGAAAATGTGTTCATGAGAAAAACATGAGTTTGTGGAGAAGCACTGGGCTGTCCTCACCAGATCCCATGGATGCTCCCACTGACCACAGGACATGGCTGGCTCCAACACACTGTGGCCAGGCCTAGGTCATCCCCTGCCTGAAATTGCTTAATGCTGCTTCCTGGTGGTGCCAGAGCTGGGCCTGGAAGAGTGATGAGGGCTGGGTGCTGCTCTGTGGACAGCTGGTGTGGAGGTTCTTCAGAGGTTGGCTTTGCCTCCCAGCTGTCTGAGCTTTCGGGAACTTTGATAGTAACCAAATCACTGAGTTTTTCTGGATTTTGAGTTTCCTCTTGTGGAGAGTTATATAGTAACATTTGACGTACTTTTTAAAATAAAATCCTTGTAAGGATCAAAAGATGGGCACTGCGTTTCCCTGAGCTGCACGTGTATGGGCCCTCGTTAGGCTGGTGATGTGTCAGGACTGCTGGGCATGTAGGATGCGCCGTGTGTTACTCTGAGCCCAAATGGAGAAAAGAAGTGTGAGCCTCATGCTCCTAAACATCAGAAGTGTTCCCACAGCATCAGGAAGACCTGGTGCATCTCCAGCTACCTGGGGAGGGGGTGCTTTTATCCAGGTCCCCGGAGGACACCGACACTGTGCCAAGTCTCAGCCTGTCCCCTGGCACGAGGAAAGCTGTGTCACCTTGAGAAAGAGAAGTCCAGTATTTCCAACTGGGAAATGTCCTGAACCATAGGGAGTGGGCCAACAAGAGCAGAGCTTCCATTGCTTTGTTGATCTGAACTAGGTCAACAGTGCCCCAGACAAGTTGTAGATATTTACCTGACCAGAACCAAACCCAGATCCGTGCACACTGGTGCACACTACACTTGTGTGTACATGAACGTAGGGTACACTTAGGCACACACCTGCTCTCATACACGTGCACATTTCTGTGCATACAGTCACACAGGACACTGTGCGCACTCACACGTGCACAGATGCAGACACCCAGAGAGCACAGAACCCTGCTGACTCACCGTCCCATTACGTTAGGAAATGCTGCACCTACACA